AGTTACTTTTCTCAACAACTGAAATTTAGAATAGTGTGATTAAGAAAAATATGTGAACTGTTTGCAATTTCAAATTAATATTGAAATGTACAGGTTTAGAATTTTCTACAGTGAAAAGTTTTCGGAACTTCAGTATTCAAAAAAGTATACAAAAGCTAGACGTTAAGAACGTATCCAATAAGCGAGCAAAGCGAGCATCGAAATGAACTGCGAAAGCAGTTTCGGGATTGGCGAGAGCCAGCGAGCAGGGGGCGAAGCCTCCTAGTATTATATAAATTTAATACATCATATAGTTGTTAACTTACTCTAATGTTTGAATTGTTAGCAAATTATGGTTTGCAACCAACTGGACTTTTCCAGTTTCGAAAATTCCAAAGATCTAGCAGAGTAGATTTCGAGCTTACAAGACACGATCGGAAATAAGGATATCAAATCCGACACCGTGCGTTCCTCATCGGGTAACAAACATAGCTATGTTCATCGAAAAACTAAACCAGCCTCACCAACTGGGTGGTTTTTCAATTTAAGCACTACGTCTTAACGAATAGCACTAATTCAATGTTTTGAAAAGGTGCTTGATCGAAAAACTTATCGCTTCAGAATATAAGTTTGTTTAACGTTATTCTCTTACCAACAATCAACTGTAATCTCTGAGCAAAAGTTTAAACAGTTTCGTAAATTCGTATCGCTTTCAGGTAATAGAATTCACGAGTATAATCTAAGCAAATTCTTCAAACTGAAACTAAGCTTAGAATTTTTATTCGAAACGAACGAAATCCTTTAAAGGGTACTTAATTCATTATTTTTTTTATAAACAATGGTAGTGATTTTTAAAACTGAGCGCTCGGTTTAAAAGTCTGAAATACCTTTTATTTCGTGTAGTGTTTGTGGTAGTTTAATTTTAAGATTCGGTTGAAAGTTAAATACCGAATAATGAACAGTTAAAACTATTACAAGTGTTTCTCAATGTGGAGATCTTGCAAGTACTGAGATTTACCGTAAGTTTACTTCATTGCTTATGAGGGTACTGTTCCACAACAGAAGTCTGGATTGAGAAGTCTTGAAGCGACTGAAAGAGCGTGAGACTCAGAGAAAGCAGAACGGCCGTCTACCACTTCCACTTCGTGCACCACACTCATACAGCTTTTGCATAACTTCCGATCCATACGTGCAAACTTTTTATCTGCTGTTTGATCATTGTTCCCATATGTCGTAAACTTCTGGTAAATCTCAGTTCCAACAGTAAAGCCTGACTGAACTGTTCGTTTTCGGAAATCAGATTCTATACTTCGAGACAATTCTACTTTGAAAAGGGGTGATATAACGTTACCAAGATATACACTTTCTGAATATTTAAAACGCGACAAATCAACTAAACACATCTTCTCTCATTCCTATCTATGAAAACTAAGCCGATTTCATGCATGGGCAAATACGCGGAAAGTCCAGAGATTTAAATTTATTATATTTAGTTATTTAAAAAAACTGTTGCTCACATGCCGGTACGCAAGCGTGGACTTTGTATGGATTAGTATACGATTGATCTATCAGTTTCATAAGTTTTCGCAAATTTCCGTTTTGAGTAACGCCTATGCTGGCCAGTTCATCATTCAAAAATTCCACTAATTATTCCGTATTATTTTTCAATAATCTTTTGGACACCGAAATGAACACAAACTTATATTCAAATCCTGCTATAACATTGCCTATTTAAAAATAATTTAGAAATTCGTAAGAAAAAACCCATTAAAAATAAATTTTGTTTATATAAAAAAAGGAAAAATTTGATGGAAAGAAATTTGCGTAAATTACGTTATGCATTTAATTCGGATGCGACACTTAACAAGTACAGAAACTTATTAAAATATTTTGTATGACTTATTTAATAACTTTCCGGTTAGACAAGAGATTTTAGTGACAAAACATTTAGGTTTCGCAAAATGGGCATCTTTTCAAAAGATACTTTTAAGTATATTCAATTCTAGAGACCAAAATATGGAGAATTTAAAATAACATCGCGAGATTCAATATATCCTGCACTTATACATTAGTCTGTTAAACGGTGGATTTTTTCTTCGCCGTGATATCTTATTTATTTCGCGATAATATATTATGTATCAGGAATATATATCAACATTACTTTTATTTTTACATTTAGTGTGCAATTATATTTTAATATTTTTTAATTTCCTTATTCAGTTGATATTGACTAGAAATTGTTTTT